CGCTCTTCCTGGGTGCTTTTCTCAGCCTGTCAGGTGCCGTTCAAAGCCAGGCTTATTTTTAGACATGCCTGAGAGCAGATGCAAGGCGGAGAATTGCCAGACGAGTTTGTTTAGGAAGATGCTCTGCACTGATTTTAATGACAGGTGTGAGTCCGTGTCCCTTAAACGGGTGTGAAAACATCAGCCTGGCTGCTTGGTGACAACCAGGAGTGTTTTCTCTCTGTTCTGTAGAGAGCGGCGAACAAGAGAACATGGAAGTCCACAGCACATCTGAGGTTTAGATGCATCCTTCATTAATTTATCAAGTCTTCCCGCTTTTGTTGGAGAAATGCCTTTAGAGAACAAAAGAGATGGTATATCGGTAAGGTGCTAATATTTTTTGGTTTTTATCCTTTCTCCCTCAACTTTCTTCAGGAAGAGGAGACGGAATGGCAGTGAAGATGATGGTCATGTTCCCCAGACAAAACGTAGTACCAGGAATACCGTCCTTCAGGACTCTTGGGACACTGAGGTGAGAGCCTTCTGGGCAAATTCGGTTTCCTTTAATGCTGAATTTGAATAACTGTTGGAATATTCTGTCAGATTTTATTCATGGGGAGCAGTTAATGAAAACGCTTTGCTTTGTGTGTGAGGTCATGGGGCTTGGCCCTGTTACGAGCTTCAGAGATGGAAATCTGTAAGACGTGGTTTGGAAATCGGCGTGTTTTCTGGTTTTCTTTGGCTGGAGTGTTTCTGTTAATATATTTCAAATACTGATGCGTAGTACCCAAGTGGAGAAAAAGAAAAGCATTTGCTGTTGGCAGTGAAGTGTTAACGTACCCAGAACTGAGGAGACGACTGGGGTGGGTTACAAGTGCATGTGGTCACTTTGCCTGGCCGACTACTCTTCCAGCTTTGCATTTACTCACAGTGACGTGATTATTTGTGGTAGAAAGTCAAAAAGCATTCCAACTAATACGGTACACAAAGTGCCTGTTGCAAGCTGTAGTGTTTATCTGATGTTTAAAAATCCTCTGATAGAGCTCGGCAGTTTAAGCAAGACTCGCTTGTTCACTGCTAAAATACTTGAACTCAGACTACTGAGTTCCCACTCCTGTTTGCCACGATCTTTGGCTGGACGTGGGATGAACTGCCCCTTATTCTCTCATTGCTCACATGACAGGTGTTCTAGGATGGTGCAATTTGCTAGCTGTCAGATTTCTTTTTTCGAAAAATGCTGATTTCCAGGCTGCGGCCAGATTTCCTGAATTGTTGCCTGTATTAATCATCTGAAAATTCACTGTATGCATTTCTAATTAGTAATGTAGTTCTGTTGCAAAATGTTCATGGAAAAAGCTGAGGCTCCCTCCTGGTTTGTGTCCCTGGAAGTTAATGAAATGGATTTCTTTTAAGGTTTTTGAAATATCCTTGTTGGTTTTTGTACAGCCCTCTCACCTCGAAGGTTGGCTGTAAATGAGTTCTTAGGAACTATTGCAGTTATATTAAACTATTAACTATACTTAGACTGCAGAAAATGTTTTATGCTATGTAACGTTGAGCAATGTATCTTTTATCATATGGCAATGGCTTCAAATGTATACTTACACGTAAAATGATACAAAGTCCTGTATGCCACCGTTCCTTTTGTGAGGGAGACCTTCTTTTAACCCGCACACCTTTATGCGTAGCTGATGGGGCGGTCGATGATATCGTGTGAAAAATGCTCCAACAGCAGAGGTGTTCATCACGAAGGAATTTGCGGTGATGACAAATGTTCCTGGTTGCTGTATTGCTGTTTTGCCAGAAGTGAGACTGGCTGGGATGAAGCAGTTTTTGCTTCTCGGGTATAACGGGTAGAACCATAAATAGTTGCCTGCCATCTGACACTGAATCACTTGTCCAACAGGTTAAACACCTCTTCCTGTGTAGAGTAGTTAATGGCTAAACGAGCTTTGTGGCGGGAGGAGGAAGAATTTAGTGTGGAACAAGGGATTGAAGTAGGAGTAATGAAATTAAGAATATCAGGAAAAACCTTCATGGTGAGTGGCAGAAGCACCTTTGCTTGTCATATAAACACTTGGCGTTTGACTGGGCAAAGCCGCTGCGCTGCAGAAATGGAAATAGTCGGGTAGTGGCCACACACGGGCGGATGACCTTAACTCTGTCCTTAACGGCTGTTTTGTTTGGGGTGCCTGCAAGCGAGCAGCATGGGCATGAACCGCCTGCCCCGCCGCCAGCGAAGCCAGGGTTCGGTTGCTGAAGCTAACATTAAGACTCTGCTTCATGCATGCACTTGTGTTGTGAAAGTATGTTTTTAACACATTAAACCCTGATGTGCAAGCAAGGAGAACCTCTTACTGTTGACGCTGAAGCGGAGGAACGCGCCTGCTGGACACAATTTTACAAAAATCAGTGTCTCCCTTCTCAGGGCAAAAAAATTCACAGTGTCATCCACTGATAAATAGAGCT